GATAGATCTCTCTGAATGGGCCAAAGGAGTAAAGATATTTGTGTCTCATGTGAATGCCCACCAAAAAGTGACCTCGGCAGAGGAGGACTTTAACAATCAGATGAACAGGATGACACGCTCAGTGGAAACCAGCTGTCCTTTTTCCCCAGCTACTCCTGTCATTGCTCAATGGGCTCATGAACAAAGTGGCCATGGTGGCAGGGATGGAGGTTAAGCATGGGCTCAGCAACATGGACTCCTGCTTACCAAGGCTGATTTGGCTACCACCACTGCTGGGTGCTCAATCTGCAAACAGCAGAGATAAACATTGAGTCCGCGATATGGAAACATTCCTCAGGGTGACCAACCAGCAACCTGGTGGCAGGTTGATTACATTGGACCACTTCCATCATGGAAAGGACAGTGTTTTGTTCTTACTAGAATACTTATTCTGGATATGGATTCACCTTCCCTGCACACAACACTTCTGCTAAAACTACCATCAATGGACTTACAGAATGCCTGATCCACCATCATGGTATCCCACACAGCATTGCGTTGGATCAAGGGACTCATTTCACAGCAAATCGAAGTGCAGCAATGGGCTTATGCTCATGGAATTCACTGGTCTTACCATGTTCCCCACCATCCTGAAGCAGCTGGCTTCAGGATAGAATGTTGGAATGGCCTCTTAAAAACACAAATACGGTGCCAGCTAGGTGGCAATATCTTGAAGGGCTGAGGCAATGTTCTCCAGGAGGCTGTATAGGTTCTAAACCAGCATCCAATATATGGTTCTGTTTCTCCAATAGCCAGGATTCACGGGTCCAGGAACTAAGGAGTGGAAACAGGAGCGGTACTACTCACTATTACCCCTAGTGACCCACTCAAAATATTTTTGCTTCCTGTCCCTGCTACCCCTATGCTCTGCGGGTCTGAAGATCTTAGGCCCAAAGGGAGGAACATTCCCACCTGGAAACACAATACCGATGGCATTGAACTGGAAATTAAGAATGCCATCCAGCCATTTTGGCTTCCTCATGCCTCTGGATCAACAAAGAAGGGCATTACTGTACTATCTAGTGTGACAGATCCTGATTACCAAGGGGAAATTAGGTTGGCGTTACATAATGGAGGGAAAGAAGAGTATATCTGGAATACAGGAGATTCTTTAAGACGTCTCTTAGTACTACCGTGCCCTGTGATTAAAGTCAATAGAATATTACAGCAATGCAATTCTGATATGACTGCTAACGGCCCAGACCCTTCAGGAATGAAGGTTTGGGTCACCCCACCAAACAAAGAACCATGACCAACTGAGGTGCTTGCTGAGGACAAGGGAAATACAGAATGGGTGGTGGAAGAAGGTAGTTCTGAATATCAGCTATGACCACGTGACCAGCTGCAGAAACGAGGACTGTGATTGTTGTATTTCACTGTATATGTGCACCAAATATTTTTGTTTCCTTCTGTTATGAACTGTTAAATGTACATAAGGTTAATGCATTTTGGTTGTATGTGTGTTAGCATATCATGTTAGGCACAAATATGACTCTATAATTGTCCTTATTTAGAGATTATATATGGTTAAGAAGGTGTGTACAACTGCCAAGTTGACAAGGGGTGGACTGTGATAGTTGGAGCTGTGTGTCAACTTGGCTGGACCCCAGTTCTGTGTGGTTGTTCCCATGACGGGATCGGATGACTGTGTTCTGAGTGGCCATCTGTTCAGGCGGAGTTTCCCTAGAGGTGTGGCCTGCTTACAGGATATCGCTGCATGCGGGCAGGCCGCCTCACTTCCTCTCTCCCTCCCTCTCACTCCACTCCCCTCCCTGCAGATCCGTGGTGGTCCCGCCTCACAGTGCACTGGTCCACCCAGACCCCAGTAAAGAGGGGGGAGGAGGGAGGGATAGGAAGCAAGAGGGAGTGGAGTGAGAGGAGAGGCCAGCCGGCCGGCAAGGGCCATCACAGCCCAGCCGCGGCAGGGACATCCTGGGAAGAGAGACATTCTTCTGTGTACCGGAATTCTGCTGTGCTACCTACAACTGTCCGTGAGTGAGCAGTCCACCATTCGGCCTGGAGATCTTGGATTCGCCACTCGTTGGAGTCAACAGCCAGTGTACTGCCTGCCAGCCTTGAGCTTCTCGGCCCCTGCAGGGAAAAGCCTCCAGCCTGACATTTGCTCCAGGGACTTTGGACTTGCCGGCTTCTTTACGTTTGTGAGCCATTTTCCTAAGATAAATTTTTTTTTTTCTCTCTCTCTCTCTCTCTCTCTCTATAAGCTTTGCTGGTTTTTGTTTCTCTAGAGAACCCAGTCTAACACAAATGACCAGAATTACTGGTCAGATGAAATCTGGTGAGACTCCCAACATTATGGCCCTGAAATACATTCGGCACCTGGAATAAAACTCACCCCCGGGGGGGATCTCTCAGCCCAACAGTTAACAAGATGTACATGCAGACCACTCAACCCAGGATGCTGCACCCACACACTCAATGGTAGTACATCCCTTAAAGCAATAGACCATGTGACACCAGAGGACCAACATTCAAACTGAGGAAATGCAGGACAAACAGGAGTGCACAATTATGAGAGGCACAGGGGGAGGGTTGCAGGGTAGGATGGGGAGGAGACTGAGTTAGGGCTGGACATGGCGAATGGGGAATGAAACTAAATGTACACATGACGTTGAATGTAAAACAAGCTCTTAAAATAAAAATTTTTTAAAAATAAAATAAGTAGTAGTTATTGGGTGGTATAAATAGTTAACACATTCAGCCGCTAACTCAAAGGCTGAGATTTGAGGGGCCTCAGAAGAACGAACTGGTGGTCTATTTCCAAAAAATCAGCCACTGAAAACCCAGTGGAGCACAGTTCTACTCTGACACACTTGGGGTCTCCATGCGGAGAAGTCAACTCAATGGCAACTGGTACTGGTTCTAATAGAAGGAAGAAGGCAGGGTAAAAGCATTTGTCAAGAGAAAGTAGTTCAGGTTCTCACAGAACAAAGGGACTCAAGTCAAAATATTTTGTGAACACTACTGTTAACGGTTTATCATGACCACAGGCCTCTTGCTGCAGGAGCCAACCACAAATGCAGATTCAAAATTACCCACCAATGAAAAGCCCAAGTTTCCAATGTTGATGTGCTTTAAAGAGAAACTAATCTACATTTTCCCAAAAAGCATTTCATCAGGTCAGCATTCTTAAGACACTGACACAAAGAAAACCCAACACTACTCTAAAGTCTGAAAGGCAAACACACATTTTCAGATTTTAGAGGAATTTATAAAAAAAATAGTTAAACTACAATGTTTTCACCACCTGAAAACTAGCTACATGATATACATATTGGACATCTGTGAGTTTCCTGTAATTTTTTTTTTTAAAGAAATAATCTTGGTCTTGGTTCCTAGATGAAAACCATATTCTTTAAAGAAAATGAAAATATTCTCAAAGACAAATCTTAAGTCAAATCACATCCTTTTTTGTGGAGTCAGATACAGTGTGCACATACAGGCGTTTTCCCTGAAATCTGGAAAGGGTGCCCCCTCATGACCTCTCTTGACCAAGACTTGTGGCTAGAATTCTGAGTGAAGAAGTTATTTTCTGGTGAAGGATAGAGGGGGAATGAAACAAGCAGTCTTCAAGCCAGAAACCAAGGGTGGGGAGGAATGGAGTGGAAATTGTAGCTGAAAATAACCATTAGAGTCCCTGTGGCCGAACCTCACAGTAACCAAAATGGCCACAGGCAAAGCATGGTCTCTATAGACCCCCGCTCCTCACCACCTCCTATGACTCCATCCAAACAAGGCACCATTCCCATTCACCAGTAGGCAAGGCATATGACACATACAAACACATGTGCCTTCTACCAACTTCTGCCTTCCAGACCACACCCTGCACCAGGGAGCGTTCTTGGAGGGGGTCTTGGACTCTTCTGAACAAAGGAAATTGGCTCTGGACTGGAGGCAGCCCACCATACCCCAATACTTCTGGAAGGCACCTGTATCTGAGGCCTTGGGGCACAGAAGGGAAACTCAATGATGAAGTGGACTGGGAAGCAGGCAGATCCCAGAGGCAAGCAGCCTGAAGAGGCACAGACGGTGAATAAATACAAGTAAAAGATGCTTCGGAGGCCAGCCCCCGGCGGAGGGGTCATCAATGGGAAGTAGGGGATGCAGTGGGATGAAAGCACACACGGCAGCCCAGCCCACCCTAACACAATGCTCTAACACTACCCTGGGGCTATCCAACATGCACCCCTCAGACACACCCATGTGCGCGTGCATACACACACACACACACACACACACAGAGCTGTGGGTCGGGCTCCAGGCTCCCGCTCAGAGCTCCGTGACATGCATGGCAGGCGACGGAACTGGGCCAGGCTGGAGGCGCCGCAGATGGCAGGAGCGACATAGCAGGTGGCCCTCTAGTGGGTAGCAGCGGTGTCCATCCTCCCCACTCAGCTGCAGCCCACAGTCCTAAGGAAAAACACAACACAGAACACAGAGTAAGGTGAAGGACACATCAAAGTGATGGGCAAGAGGACTTGGGGTTTTACTCTTTGAGGGGTTGGATCAGGAGCCCAGTGTTGGACACAAGGGATTCAAGATGCCTCTTAGATATTCAAGAAGAGACACTGAGGAAAGAGGTTGTCATGGATTGAACTGTATCCCCAAAAACATCTGACAATTTAATTAGGCCATGATTCTCAATGTTATGTAATTATCCTCTATTTTGTGATCTGAAGTAATTATTCTCAAGTGTTGTAAATCCTAATCTCTAGGATGTTAATGAGGCAGGATTAGAGGCAGTTATGTTGATGAGGCAGGTTACTACAGGATTAATCTACAGGATTAGGTTGTATTATGAGTCAATCTCTTTTGAAAGATAAAAGAGATTAAACAAGCAATCATAGATAGAGGGACCTCAGCACCATCAAGAAAGAAGAGCTGGAACCAGATTGTATCCTTTAGACTCAGGATCCCTGACTGAGAACCTCCTAGAGACAGGGGAAGATTCATGCCAAAGCACATGGAGCTCTCCAAGGGATGCCAGGCCCACAGATGTTGAAAGGAGACAAGTACCTTCCCTCAGAGACAACAGAGAGAGACAAAGACTTCTGCTAGAACTTGCTCCCTGCATTTGGACTTCTAGTCTTCCAAACTGTGAGAGAATATTTATTTATTAAAGCCATTCACTTGTGGTATTTCTGTTATAGCAGCACAAGATAACTAAGACAGAGGTAGCTGGATAAAAGTCAGGAGTCTCGGGACAGGGCTGAAGGCACATGTGGAGGTCAGCTCACTGATAGCTTTTAAAGACAAAAGAACAGATTACTACATTTCCCAGGAAGTAAAAAACAAACAAATGGGAAAAAAAAAAAAAAAAAACTGCCCTCAAGTTGATTCAGACTTATAATGACCCTGTAAGACACAGTAGAACTGCCCAGAGGATTTCCAAGGCAATAAATCTTTACAGAAGCAGACAGCTTCACCTTTCTGCTGCGGAGTAGCTGTGGGATTTGAACCACCAACCTTTTGGTTAGCAGTCAAATGCTTTAACCACCACACCACCAGAGTTCCTCAGGGAGTAAAGGTAACTGAAAAAAAAAAAAAGATGATGATGCCTTGTAGAGTTCATCAGACATTAAGAGATGGAAAGAGGAGGAACAAACTGAGCAAAGGAGATTTGAGGAAAAAGTAAAAGTGAAGAAAACTAAAATGGGTCATCCAAAGGCAAAATGAAGTGTATCTCAGAGGAAAAGCTGGCTTGTGGGAAAGCTCTGTGTAGTCAAGAAGGTAATAACCAAGAACTGTCTAAAGGATTCTGCCAGAGGGGGTGTGAAGAACTTGGCAAGTACTAGGGCAAATGCCTGACCAGAGAGGTCTTAACAGATAATGGGAAGAGCAGCATTAGAGGTATCAAGTACAGGAGTTTTGCTTTATGTCCCTTACCATTTCACCATTGCAGTATTATTTATTTATTTTAATTTTATTGTGATTTGGGTGAAAGTTTACACAGTAAATTTATCTTCCATGCAGTAGTTCATATACACTGTCTCAAGACATTGACTGTAATATCCCACAATGCAACAGTTCTCCTCCGTCTTCCTCCCCCCCATAGCCACCTCTTCCCTGTGTCCTTCCCTCCCGTGCATTCCTGCCCTAAGCTGCCTCCCTGTGCATACACAGCCCTTCTATTCTCCCATGATTGATTTCTCCAAGGAGTGGATCTACTTGATATAAATATTCAGCTCATATGCCTGTCTTCTATTTGTCTGGAAGCCACAGGACTGGGTTCAATTCCAGACCTGAAGGGCAGCTAGGGGTCATAGCATCGGGGTTCCACCAGGCTGTATCAGACCAGCAAAACTGGTGCCTTTTTTTTTTTCTTTTTTAAATGCACTTTTATGATGGCTGGAGCTGTGTGTCAACTTGGCTGGACCACGTGTGTGCAATTGTGATGTGGGCTGTTCCAATGATGGGATCAGATGCGTATGTTTTCAGCAGCCAATCCATTGAAAGAGAGTTTCCCTAGGGGTGTGGCCTGCTTCCAGTACATTTGTGGACATCCTGGGAAAAGAGACTTTCTTCTTCTGTGGATCGGAATTCTGTTGTGCTGCCTACAACTGTCTGTAAGTGAACAATCCACCATTCGGCCTGGAGATCTTGGATTCGTCATTTGGAGTCAACAGCCAGTATCCTGCCTGCCAACCTTGAGCTCGTTAGCAGCTGCAGCTGCATGAGTCGGGAAAAGCCTCCAGCTTGACGTTTGATCCAAGAACTTGGGACCTGCCTGCTTCTTTAAGTGTGTGAGCCATTTTCCTAAAAAATTTCTCTTTCTCTCTCTCTATATATAAGTTTTACTGGTTTTGCTTCTCTAGAGAACCCAGCCTAACACAATTTTATTGAAATATAATTTATGTACAGTGAAATACGCAAAACTAAAGTGACATGGGGTCAATGCATTTTTTTGTTTTTGCAATGTTCCCTCCCCTCCCCTCCCACCCCTGGCAACCAACAAAGAAAGTGTCCCTCCATATATAAACCTTTCTTGACTCTCCATAACAATGAACCAATACTATATTTGTCCTTCTGTGATTACCTTATTTCACTCAGCATAATGTCCTCCAAGTTCATCCATATTATGCGGTGTTTTGCAGACTCTACATTACTCTTTAGTGCTGCAGAGCATTCCATTATGTGTATGTACCATAGTTTGGTCATCCACTCTTCCAGTGATGGGCACATAGGTTGTTTCCATCTTTTTGCTATTGTAAATAGTGCTGTAATGAACATGGATGTGCATATATCCGTTCCTGTCCTGGCTCGCACCTCTCTAGGATATATACCTAGTAATGGGATTACTGGGTCAAATGGTATCTCCAATTCCAGCTTTCTAAGGAATCATCATACTGCTTTCCACAGTGGTTGTATCCCTTCACAGTCCCACCAGCACTGTATGAGTGTGCCAATCTCTCCACATCCCTGCCAGCATTTGTTATTTTCTGTCTCGTTGAACCTTGCCATCAGTGCTGGGGTAAAGTGGTATCTCTTGTTGTTCTGATTTACATCTCTCTGATGGCCAATGATTGTGAGCATGTCTTCATGTATTAGCTGGCCACCTGAATATCCTCCTTGGTGAAGTGTCTATTCATCTGCCTATTTTTCAATTGGACTGTTAATTCCCTTGCTGTTGAGGCACTGGAGTTTCTACAAATCTTAGAGATAAGTCCCTTGCCAAGTATGTAATTATCGGCAAATATGAATTTGTTGCTGTCATTTTTGTTATGTGCTTTTTCATGGCATCGATTTGTTCCATATAATTTTCTATGCTGCGCTCATTTTGTTTACAAATCATGTTATCACTTCCTTCATTGCTATTGTTTTAGTATTTGCTAAATATTTGTGCTGGTCTTCTTTTTTATTTTGATGTGAAGGTTTATCATTTTTCTCTGAGGTTACCCTGTGATTTACAGTTTTCTTCCCAAGTTTAGAACAGTCCATTCCATCTTATAGTTGTCTTGACTTCCCTACCATCTAGAAGTTCTGTAACTACACAGTTTTTTCCCTCTTTTTGGTTTGTAGTTGTCCTCATTTGTCAATTATGTCTCTGGTTTCCTGTTTACAATCTTATAGGCTTATTTATTTTGGATACTTTCATAGCTGGGTTGGTTTCTGGGTTATGTCATCATGTGTGTTAAGGGTCAGTTGTTCTTGGCTGTTGTTGCTTCTCTGCCCAACAAGGGCTCCCATTAATCTCTCCTTAAGGTTGGTCTGGTTTTAACACATTCCCTTAATTTCTGCTTCTCTGAAATGTCCCAATTTCACCATCATATATGAGGGACAATTTTGCTGGGTACATAATTCTTGGTTGGAAATTTTTCTCTTTCAGTGTTTTACATATACCATCCCATAGTCTTCTCGCCTGCATGGTTTCTGCTGAGAAATCTGAACTTAGTCTTATTGGTTACCCTTTGTAGGTAACTTTTCATTTTCCTGTGCTGCTTTCAGGATTCTGTCTGTCTTTAGTTTTGGTGAGTTTGATGATGGTATGTGCTGGTGATTTTCTTTTGGGGTTTATCCTGTTTGGGGTTCATTGGACTTCCTGAATGGATATCTTCTCATCTTTCATCATACCAGAAAAATTCTCTTCCAACAAATATTTGACAATTTTCTCTGTGGTTTTGTCTCTTCCTTTTCTGGAATTCCAATTACACATAGAGTATTCCTTTTGATCGTATCCCACTTGAACCTTAGGCTTTCTTCATTCTGTTCTGATCTTTTCTCCAACTAATTCCTTTCCAAAGAAGTGTTCAGACATTTGCCTTCAATCTCACTAACTCTGTCTTCCATTGATTCAATTCTACTCCTTTGCCCGTTCAGTGTCTTATCTACTTCTGAAAATTTAGTATTAATCTTCTGGATTTCTGTGTGTAGATTTTGTATCATTTCTAATTCTTCATTTATTTTGTCATTTTGTTCCAGTATTGTCTTTCTAAATTGTTCTAGGGTTTTCTCAAATTTTATCAGTGTTTTCCTTGATCTGCCTCTCAATTCACTGAAGACACCTAAATATAATTCTTTTGAATCCCTTACCAGGGAGTTCCAATGCTACATCTTCCTCAGGGATATGTTTTGGGTCTGTATCCTGGTCCCTTGTTTCTCCTGCTTTACCTTGCTTTTTTGGGTGGACTGTGATGCTCTGTTGTCTCTGAGGCATTGTGACATTTTTGTGTTTATATTTAATTGGTGATTGTATGCTGGAGTGATCTGCCCACGATTTTCATTTTGTTTTGTTTGTTTGTATGTTATCTACATAAGCAGAGTACTGTGCTGTGCTCCTGTGTTCACTAGTTGGCAGCACTTATACACTTACCACCTGTCTCCTTTCCTGTTGTCAGCCTCCCGTATGTCCCTGGCGTCCTTGGCAAACAGAGTCTATTCTTAGGTCCCTGGAATCCAAATGAGAATTCTGTCACTTTAAAATCCAAAATGTGTGCCACTTGTAAAGATTCAAACTGGCTGCACCCTCAGTCACTTTAAATATCCAAAATGGCTGCCGCTTATAAATACTCAAAATGGCTGCACCCTTGGTCACTTTAAAAATCCAAAATGGCTGCACCCCCTGGGAGGCAGAAAGTTCACAGCTCAGGTTGTCTCCCTCCTTGCTGTTTCATTGAAGAGACCTAATATAATTCTTTTGAATTCCTTATCAGGGAGTTCCAATGCTGCGTCTTCCGCAGGGATGTTTTGGCTCATAGGCCACTAGCACAGTCATCCCTGCAGACCTTGGTGACCAGGGCTGATCTTTAGGTCAATTCTCAGGTCCCAACACCACTTGGAAATAATCAGGCTGTTGGTCCCGTCAGAGTAGCTGACAGTCCGCAGCTCCGACCATCTTCATGCTCACTGTTTTCATTCATGTTTTTCCACTAGATGGTGCCTAATCTACTTCTGTATAATTCCTTTCAAAGCTCAGGGCTCCAGGATTATCTTCTGTATCTGTCAATTGGTTTCTCTTTTCTTTGTTGAGGAGGGTCTGTGTTACTTGTCTGCTAATTCCTCCATCTTACCGGAAGTTTTTTTTTTTTTGAGTTTTGTTCCACATTGTTCTCCCACTCTACCCAGCATCTCCTACACAGATCCCCCTCCAAGTCGTTGACAGTCATAGCCAGGCACCATCTAGTTCTTCTGGTCTCATAGTCATATAGGCTGAGGATTACATGGTGTACCACCAGTTCCTTGGACCAACTGTTTCCATGAATCTTTGGTTTTCTTCATTCTTCTTTGCTCTGAACCCATCGCTGCATCTAGATGGCTGCTTGCAAGCTTTTAAGATCCCAGTCATTACTCACCAAAGTAGGATGTGGAACAATGTTTTTGTATAGTATATTATGCCAATTGAGCTTGATGTCCCCTGAGACTATGGTCCCGAAGCCACAGATCCAACTACTTGCTCCCTCTGGGTAGCTGGCTGTGGTCAAGAAGTGACTACAACCTTGTCCCTTGTCAGCTCTATATACCCATTGCAGTAATTTTTAATTAAGTTTCTCTGATTAACAAATTATTTTTATCAATATTTGACCTTTGAAAATAACTGACAGAAAATGTGAAGGGCAGCCATGAAGGACATGCCAACAGAGTCTTTGGGTACCTGGCGAGACCAGCTGGACAACTTTTTCCTTCCTTCACACCCCACTCCCAAGGTGGCTCTTTGATCATATACATTCATTGCATCCATGTTTGAATCCTGTCTTACAGCTTTAACACTTGTTACCCAAAGACCCTGAGACCAACACCCACCCCACTCTTCACAGGTCTTAGAGCTGGGCTGCTGCAGTGGAATCATGGCCTCATATCCCAAATCACTCTTGTCAATCCACACACCACTGATTGAGCTCTGCTACTAACAATTCCAAGGAACTCTGGTAACACAGTGGTTAAAACATCAGCTGTTAACCAAAAGATCCATGGCCTCTCCACAGAAAAAATATGAGACAGTCTGCCTTACACTTACCCTTGTACCAAAGCATATTCTGATTTCACTACCTGGAAATATTCTTCTCCCTAATTCAATAGCTAACCCTTATTTATCCTTCAAATCTCAGTGTGGGTGTTGCCTTTCCAGAAAGTTTTCTGACTTTCCAAAGCCTTCATGTGCACTTATAACTTCCCTTAATCAGACTGATTACAGTGACTGGATAGTTCTTTCATACGAACAGTGACTATCATATTCCCCATTACATTCCTAGCTTCCACACACTGTAAACATTTAGCAAATATTTGATTGAGTGAAAAATAGGGAGAAGGATGAGGACTCACTGGGGAAAGACCAATAAAATGAGATTAAAATCATAAAAAGGAAATGGGCCCACAAAACTCCTAAGGAGAAGGAGACCTGTGTGAGAGGGGGTTTCACCAGCCATTGGTCTTTCAGGAAGGCCCAGGCTCACCTCACAGTGATAACATTCTACATGGTAGTCTCTGTCCATGGATACCACTCGGATGGTTGTCTCACAGCCCTGGAGAAAGAGACAGGGTTAGCTAGGGCTTGAGGTGAGTTTTACGTAACAGTGGGTATTACCTCTCCAGAAAGTTTTCTCTGACTTTCTAAAGCCTCCATGTGCACTGACAACTTCCCTTAATCAGACTGATCACAGTGAGTGGACAGTTCTTCCATAAGAACAGTGACTATCCTATTCCCCATTACATTCCCACACCTACACAACATGCTCGTGTCTTGTTGGATGCACATTCACATCTGTGTAAGTAATGACAGTGAGTCCATGGGGGCTGGAACAGGCATCAATAGGTTCCCATGAATGGATGTGCATGTACCTTAGGCATCCTCACACAGCTGCAGCAAACAGCATGCATGGTGTCACTGAGAGCCATCAGTGGTTGTAAATGTAGGTGAATGTGTGTGAGCATGTCATTTTCTCTTGTTTAGAGTCATGAAAGACCATTGCTAGTTTTGCTTCCCCAGGTACACCAGTCTGCGATAAAACTAACACACATAGGATTATTCAGTGCCTAAGCAAGCTGTACCGCCCAGGGTTCTCTCTCCTACATAATCCACATCTTTCTCTCTTCTGCTCCCCAACAAACCTCAGCCTGCAGAGAAGACCAGACCCAGCCCTTACGTCAATGGAGAATGGAACTGACAGCAGCAGTGGGGCAGCCAAGCAGCAAGGGCCACCATTTCCCTCTAACTCCTACCAGGGGACACCCACACCCAAGTGAAGGGCATAACACATATCCCTCAACCCTGAGGGATATGGGGCAGGAGCACATACTCATCCCTCCCACTGTGGCTCCAGACCTGGGGCAGACCTGGGCAGGACTGGGCAGATTCCAGGCTGGACCAGGCACCTGAACATCTCCAGGTGAGTGGTTCCTACCTGTGCAGGGAGGATAGGACGGGCACAGGAGGCACATTTTGGTGCAAAAACCCTGGAGGAATAAAGGAAACCAGAAGTCACCAGAGGAGTGACCAGAGGACAAGGGGCACAAGGACATGCCCACCCATAGAAGCCCCACAAAATGGCCCGGCATCAAGCCCTCTTCCTTTGGGGTCAGAGCAGCTTCTTCCATGCCTTCTTAGCAATGGCTTTTTATCTGGCTTCCCAGTTCACCTCTACCCCATCACCTTTACCAGGATGGCTATAGGTTCTGTCCTGTCCTTTCTCCCTCATGCTTCATGACTTTTCCACCCCCTAATGAAATCCTTGCAAATCTTGGCTTTACCTTGCGTAGCAGAGACCTATGTTAAGCACAGGACAAGTGTTCTGAGGGATGAGCCTGAAGCCACAAGAGGAATGGCTCAGCTGCCCACACGAGTACTAGGGAGGAGAAACGCTCTACAGAGACCCCAAGCCCTTATCCCAGGTAGAAGAAGTCTTGCCTGGCCCCGGGAGCAGAGGGATGGACGCTAGCAGGGCAGCTAGTAGAGTCCCCACCACTATGAAAAAGACAGCATGCAGGAACAGGCAGGAGAGAAAAAAAGGTGGCTGGTAGCTGAATCTCAGAGAAAGCAAAAGGCAAAGATATGTGCCCTGCACCAACCACAGAGGTATCAAAAGGAGAGGCCAGAAGTGCATCCATTTCTACTGTCCATGAAAACACCAAGAAAAGAAGAGCACAGACAGGCAGACTGGCCAGAAAAATGCTTCAAGGGGAGGCACAGGAGCCAGTGAGAGTCCCACCTGCTCCACAGTGCAGACTACTCACGTGTGATAGTCTCTGACACAGTAGATGTTGTTCTCCATGTCCACAGTGAAGGGTACTCCATCCAGGCATTCATTACACACAGAACACCGGAAGCAGCCTGGGTGATAGGACTTCCCCAGGGCCTGGAGGATCTGAGGGTGGGAGGCACTGAATGGTCAATACAGGTGGAAGGCACAGCACAGCCCCCAGAAGAGGCTCTGGTATAAGGCCCTGGCAATTCTGGAACAGGTAAAAGGATGGGAGCCTCAGACTCCACCCAGGTCAGAGGGGTAGGGGTTTCAGGAGGCTGGCAGGGCGGTTCTCACCATCTCCATGATGAGGTGTCCACACACACTACACTTGTCAGCTGTTTGCTGGAACCCAGAGTACTGGAAGAGAAGAGAAGATTCAGAATGTCAGGTGACAATGGGCCACCAATTTCCCAGCCTGCACCTACCTCCTGGCCTCAGATGTCCACGTGAATAAGGAGGTCCCCCACCCCAATCCCCACCTCTGTCCCCCTTCATGGCACAAGCCAGGGGCACAGCTTTGACTCACCAGGAAGTCTTCCTGGCAGTACACTTTCTCACCCACATTGTAGAATGCCTTCCCTCGAAGTCGTCTCCCTGAAAGATGGTGATCAAGATGAGGGTCACTGGGTTGCTAGAGACCAGGGATGGAGTTCCCTACTTCCATCTCTCAGCATCCTGCTCAACCCAGCAGATGAGTAATGGGATTACAGGTGAATTTTTAAATTTCCTTTTAAGGTTTTATTATTGTTGCTATACTAATGAATCAGAAAAATTTAAACAGGTCCTGTTGTCAACAGAACTACTGTAAGAAGTTGTCAAAGGATATTTATGAGAATTATTTTGCAAATGAAAATTATTTTGATTAATAAAAAATACATTCACTTCAAGTTCAGTTTAGTTTACAGTAGATTTTTCAGAATGAATTTTCCTAATTCATGAACATTCATGTGCTGATGAACAGTCATCAGCACAAGTTTTATCATATGAAGGAACTTAATATTAAAAAATGAGGCAGTGGTGGTCTCATTTTCCACGTAAGAGACCCAGGTTTTATTCCTACCCAATAACTCTCATGCACAGCTATCACTCATCTGTCAGGGAAGGCTTGCATGTTGTTTTAATGCTGAACAGGTCTCAGCAGAGCTTCCAGACTAATACAGACTAGGAAGAAAGATTTGCAATCTACTTCTGAAAATCAGACAATGAAAACTCTCTATGGATCACAACAGTCCAATCTGCAACCTCTCACAGGGATGGCACAGGATTGGACAGCACTTCATACCACTGTGCATGGAGTTGCCGTGAGTCAAGGGCTGACTCAACTGGCAGCTATAACAATATTAAAGAGGCATCCCTGACAGCCCTAGTAGCAAGCTGTTAGGAACATTCTCATTAGAGTCAAAAGAAAGACAATGTTAAATTAGGTTAAGAGGAAATTAACCTAATAATTGGCATCTATGCAAACTCTACAGCTAACATCACACTTAGTGGTGAAATATTAAATGTTTTTACTCCTTCAGATTCAACATTACTTGGCAGACAATGGTCCTATAAGTTTATGTGAATGATCAGAATTCCCAGGTGTATAGTGGAGCTGACAAGGGGCAAGGTTGTGGTCACTGCTTGGTCACAGCCAGTTACCCAGAGAGACCAAGTAGTTGAACCTGCAGGCTTGGGACCATAGTCACAGGGAACATCAAGCTCAATTGGCATAACATACTATACAAAATATTGTTCCACCTCCTACCTTAGTGAGTAGCAACTGGGATCTTAAAAGCTAGCAAGCTGCCATCTAGATGCAACGATGGGTCTCTCCTCATCCAGAGCAAAGAAGAATGAAGAAAACCAAAATTCATGGAAACAATTAGTCCTAGCAACTGGTACACCATCTGATCTGCAGCCTATATGACTATGAGACCAGAACTAGATGGTGCCTGGCTACCACTGTCATCCACTTGGAAGGGGATCTATGTAAGAGATCCTTGATAGAGAGGGAGAACAATGTGGAACAAAACTCAAAATCATTTGGAGGCAAAAAAAAGGGGGGAACCAGGTTTGCTGGTCCGATAGAGCCTGGTGGAACCACTGAGACTATGGCCCCTAGCTGCCCTTCGGGTCTGGAATTGAACCCACACCTGTGGTTTCCAGCCAAACAAAAGACAGGCATATGAGTTGAACATTTACCTCAAGTAGATACACTCTTTGGAGAGAACAATCATGGGAGAAAGAAGGGCTTCTTATGCACAGGGAGACAGGAGCCCATGGAGCTCAGGGGGCAGGAGCCCATGGAGGGATGGACACTGGGAAGAGGTAATTGTGGGGAGGAGGTGGGAAGGGAGCTGTTGCATTGTAGTAAACTGTGGTCAATGTCATGAGACAAAGTGTACGTGAACTGCTGTATGGAAAGTGAATTTGCTCTGTAAATCTTCACCCAAATCACAATAAAAAATAAATAAAAAGATTCAATATTACAAAAAAAGACTAGGTATGCTGGTCTGATAGAGCCTGCTGAAACACCTATGGCCCCTGGTTTCCCTTCAGGTCTGAAATTGAACTCACTACTGTGGCTTCTAGCCAAATAAAAGACTGGCATATGGGCTAAACATTTATATCAGATCGATATACTCCTTGGAGAGATCAATCATGGGAGAACAGAAGGGCCGTGTATGCACTGGGAGACTGCTCAAGTGGCAGAAGTGCATGGGAGGGAAGAACACAGAAAGAGGTAACTATGGGGAGGAAGTGGGAAGAGAGCTGTTACACTATGGGAAATTGCAGTCGATGTCACGATTCAAAATGTCTATGAATTGCTGTATGGAGAATGAATTTGCTCTGTAAATTTTCACCCAAATCACATTTAAAAAAAAAGATTCAACATTACACTAGAGTTCCTATACTGTGCAATAAGACAAAAAGAAAAAGGCATAGAAATTAGAAAATGAACTTACAATTATTATAACTGCATTTATAATAGCATAAAAAATATGATTATTTGGAGATAAATTTAGTGAAAGATGTGAAAGCCTTACCCTGAAAATTACGACACTGCTGAGAGAAATTTATGACCTACATACAGACAGTGCCTGGCTACCAACTGCTCTGATCAAGATCAGAATAGAAGGTCCTGAATGGACTGCGAGAAAAATGTAGACCAAAGTTCAAAATCATAAAAAAAGAGAAACAGACTTATTGGTCTGACAGAGACTGGCGCTACCCCTGAAACTATTAGACATTGTTCAAACCTGGAACTGAACCCGCCTCCAGGCCTATAAAGTAAATCATAACACCTGTGAGAGACACACTCCTCAGAAAAATCAACAGGGCAGTATATGCCCAAAAATAAACTTCAGGAGGCAAGAAGGGGTAGGAAAGAAGGATGAATGGAAACAAGGAACCCAGGGTAGAAGTGGGAAGGGTACTGTTATATTGAGGTCATTACAACTAATGTCACAAAACAAAATGTGTATAAATTGTTGAATGGAAAACTTGCTCTGTAAACTTTCACCTAAAACACAAGGAAATGTTAAAAAAAATTAAGATGACTACTAAATAGATAAACTATTGTTGGAGGCTCCATGGAGTTTCTCACATTTCTGCACCTCTTCTAAGGAAAGGACTGATAGCTTTCATTTCAGTCTATCTTTTCAAGGATGGTTGTAAAGCAAAATGCCTTGGAAGACAGAAATAATGTCTTCCTCTGGAGCAGGTTTGTTTGCTAATATAATGCCTCCCTCTAGGACAAGGGTCAGGAAGGTTTGCTGGCAGCCCATATGAAAGACTAAGGTTTCCTAATAACAGGATTCCTCAGTAGGTGACATGCACCTACTGCATAGGCAACATCCACATTGCCCCTGGGGAACAAGTGAAACTGAAGTGAACATGACACTCAAGATGTTGCAAATCTCTAACCTAGGAGTCTCATGTCTTCAGTTAGTATCCAAGAAAATGTGGCAAGTTAACTTGTTAGCTTGCAAGTATGGTAAAATCTCAGACCCTGCACAATTCCTGATGACCACACACATGGCTGTGAACATTAATTCTCCCCAAATTAATCTATACATCCAATCCTACCCAAATCAATATCCCAGTACACTGTTTTTGTAGACATGCTGATTATAAAATTTCTTTTAAAAAATGCAAAGGACCCAGAATAGCCAAAATAATCTTGAAAGAGATTAACAAAACTCAAAGACTTGTGCTACCTATTTTAATATATTTTATTATTTTACAATAATCAAGCCAGTACACAAGATGATCAGCAGGACAAAATAGAGTCCAAAAGGAAAGCAAAGTCTTTTCCACAACCGAATATCCATAGGGAAACAAAAATGACACTCAACCCCCAACTTCATACCATACACAAAAATTAATATGAAATGGTTGTAAACATGAAACATAAACACAGAAGTTACAAATCTAATGCTTCTAGAAAAAACATAGAACACAATCTTCATGACTTAAAGGTGGACAAGGAATGAATGGATAAAAAAACTATGGTACATGTACATAATGGAATACTACACAACATTAAAGAATAACGACTAATCTGTGAAACACTTCATAACATGGAGGCACTTAGAGGATATTATGCTGAGTGAAACTGGTCACTCATTTATAGTCAATCATGAAAGGACAAATATTATATGAGACCAAAACCAAACCTACTGCCATTGAGTTGATTCCAACTCACAGTAACCCCCATAGGGTTTCCAAGGCTCTTTTTTTTTTTTTCAATTGTGGTGAAAACATACACACCAAGACATTCACCAACATAGTAACTTCCAAATTTACAGCTCATGGACACTGATGACATTTTTCATGTTGTGCCACCATCACTGTTATCCTTTTCCAAAATATTCCACCACCATTAGCATAAACTCAATGTCCCACAAACAAGTTTCTTCTTTCCCCC